GAGGGGGGATGGGGGGGGGGGGGGTGTTCAAGGGAAGACAAGTGCAGGGGAAGTGAGTGGGGCAGAATCCAGGCAGCTGTTCTGCAGTAGAATAGCAGGGGGAGAATGGCCAATTTTTCATCAATGGAGTCCTGACACGGACCACTGTGAAGATGATAAAGTCTTCTTCAGTGAAAGCTGGGAATGAGTCAGTGAAAGAGCCATCGGGGTGGTACTGTTGTAACTGAGCCCATCGCAGCACAGGTTCCTCAAAATGACAGCAGTAACCCTCAGCCTTTTTTTCAAAGCTAAATGATGCTTTTGACACCCACGGCTATAACAGTAGCATTACAAAGGATCCCAAACTGTTCTGCAAAGTGTTTTGCAAAAGACAGTTCAGCTGCACAAGTGATTAGGGCAAAGAAGAATAAAACACAAGATCTTCTTAGGAAGGAGCAGCCTAGACAGAATATATAAATCTGTAGCCTGGAAAGCTGTGGTCTGCCATCTGCACACCTTCGGTGACCGTACAGAAAGATTCTTTAGGTGCTGCGAAACCCCTTTCAGGAGCAGTGCACAGGGCTACTTCCTTGGAAGGAGAGGGAGAGAAAAAGTTACATAAAACGTCTTTGACCATTAAAATTCTGCTGGTAGCAATCATCTCACACACCGCTGGTGGAAGGAACCACTCTGGAGAAGCAGTTACACACCGTGTTGTATCTCAGACATGTCCTGCCCGCTTGATGCCTGTGCAGGCACTCAGCAGAAGCTAGAAATAATCACAACTCTGAACACAATTTTTATGCTAAGCAGAGTTCTAAAACTTCTTTTTTAAAAAATCCACATGAACAGCACTAAAGGTCAGCACCAATCGCCTGTCCCTGCTTTGGGGAACGAGGGAAGGGGAGGAAAAGATCAAAATCATTACCTGAATGGACTTATAAAATCTCACCTTTTGGAGCTGTTCCAAAGTGCCTGTTACTATTTTGGTTGGAAAGACCAAAGAAGAAACGCTAAAGGTAGGAGGAGAATATACAAACAGTTACAAAAAATACAAGTCTTGTCAGCTTGTTCGATTGTCATTTGATGCAAGGGGGACAGATTCCAAGCAGCCTGAATGCTGCAGAACGAACTATCGCAATATCCAGCAGCTTCCAGGAGCAGCTCTTCCCAATCTAGATAGAGCAGCAAACTTAACTTCCTTAAGCCCTCCTCTTTTTTCTTACTTCTACTTAGTTGGAACCATGGAAAACAATTGGTATTTCAAGCGATGCCTAAAGAGGACTTTTGTTCCTTCGCTGGCCATGTGACAGGACTCCATGACTTTCTCCAATACAGGTTTTTGATGGTGTGCAAAAAGTGTAACATCTTAAATAGCCACAATGCACAACATCCCCCTCCGGTGCTAAGAAACTGTTGTGTTAACTCTGCAGTGCAGAATTTGATGCCGCCTGCTAAGAAGAAAATTCAAGACATGCAGAAAAATCTAAGAAATTCTCCTCCTTTTACATATCCTAGTGAGGAAGTTTTATCTTTATTTAAGACCCAGGGCCAAAGAGATGATGGAAACAGTTTCCCTGCTTTGGAGGCAGAGCCTCCCAGGGCTGTTTCAGACAGGCGCTGCACTTTTGCATGACCTCCAAGTCAGCAGTTCTCAGCAAGACAGGGGACAGTGCAACTCTGGGGAGGCCCAGGCACAGCTCAGAGCATCCTGCCTCTTGGCTTGGATGTCAGTCTTACTAAAACACAAGAAAAAATTAACAAAAATAAAAGTCCTCTCCCCTTACATTACAAAGAAAAGAGAAGCATTTGAAAAGATGGAATTGAACTAGTCAGCGTGCTGCTGCTAATTGCTAGGCACTGACTTTCTCAAAGGAGGTAAGAGTAGGAGTAGCGATGAGTTTGTCACGGACTTCATGTACCATCTACAGAACAGCATTTGGCATCTCTTGCTCATATGTCAAATGCGTGCCTCCACAGTATTCCAGATACAGTCTCTGATTTTTTTTTTTTCCAGTAGAATGTAATGCTGACTTAACACAAGTGATAAACAGATCTTCTGTTTACAGGGCAAATCACAAACATACCAATAGAGAAGTACTATCAAGCTGCTTAAAACCTACCATAGCTGAATAATGGGAAAAATTATTCTCAAGATCTTGGCCTGTCTGCCTGAGTTTAAAGGAAATCAGCTGTGGTGTTGGGAACATCTGGTTTGCTGCTGCCAATGATTTTAGCAAAACTTTATCTGTAGAGTTTGGCAACAGACGGACAATCTTGTGATTCTATTACTGATCCTCCGAGCTCTGTAAATCAACACCTTTCATAGGATCAGGTTACTTTATAAAATGAATTCTTTACCAAACCCAAATCATTGCCTAATTCCACCATCCCCAGACGATTTCAGAACTAGGCTGTACGTAACATACATGTCTATATATTGTGTACAAGAGACGTGAAGCACAACACAACTCTTCGTGGCAGTGGGCTTGTTTGCAGCTTCTGAGAAATTTTGATAAAACACTAAGGAAGGATCTGGCACTGTTGCCACCAGCAAGTATAATAAAATTAAACAAAACCAAAATAATTTTATGGCCTCAAATACTGATGTGCACTTGTCACAGAACTCTTCCATCAGTTTCTGGACATAAAGGGATGTAACAGTAAACGGTACGTAGTGATGGTACCGCTGTACAACATCCTGCATGGGTGAATTTCACCTCATCTCACAATTTGACTTTTCGACAAAGTAGCTGTTAGCCAGAGCCATGCGGATGCCATCAAACAGCACATGTGGTACAGTAACAGTGTACCAGAGGAATCTCAGGCTCTTGCAAGTCCAACCTCAAGCGTTCAGTGAGTTGAGAAGGCCTTAAAGAATGATTTTAGACCTCCCAAATTCATCCTACAATGAAGCACTTAGGACCTCAACAAGCTGATGCCTTCATAGCCAATAGTAAAAATCCCTTCCTGGACATGGGTTCTCTGGCACCACACAAATTTCCAAAAAGTCAGTGGTATAATGGCTTTGGTTAGTTTTTATAACCAGAAAAAGTCGCTCAGTCTTTCAGAATACCAACTTTTATTTTAAAGACAAATATTACATCCTTACTGAGTATCATCACAAAAAAAAATTCTCTATTATTTCCCATAATGGCATAAGCTCTTACCTAGGTTTAAGTCAGGTTTCAGAACAGATTTTTTAAAATGAGGGAGAGCAAGGGAGAAACAAAAACCTGCAGTTGCTGAATTATGTTATTTATGATGACATTAGATATTCACAGTTGTTACAGGAATATTGTGCTTTATGATTTACTGGGAGAATGAGGCAAGATTCAGAATACTTCACGATTCATTTGCTAATACCTTCCTCGGGTTTTGGCTTTAAGGTGCTGCTGGGAATGACACCACCTCCAACAATGGAAGTGGCCACACTAATCGTCCTGTTCGGCAGCTGGCACAATATTATGACAATAGATACCACATGCGAAGTCTTATGCACCTTAGAGATAAGAGCTCAAATGGATCGTCGTATTTAAGTGGTTTTACAGCTACTACTGTTCACTCATGAGAGGAGTTACTTAGCCAAGGCCTGAGGATACACCGATGAGTCCCAAAGGATTAGAAAGAGGCCACTAACATATTACATATAAAATGATCGCAACCCTCTGCTCTTGAATCTGACCCTGATTTTGATAGTTTCTGCTTCTCTTGGTCATTTCAGACGACTGAACTTTTTGTACTACCTACATTTTCCAAATTCTACAGGCAAATGTTATCCTGCTGAGAATTCGTAGACGTCCCTTCTTAATCTCCATGAGACATTCTGCCTTAAATGCTACTGTCTCGTTTAGGTTAGCAGCCTGTGACAGCTCTATACGCTACCTTCTGGAGCTCCCCAGCTCCGCAGAATATCCGTGCCTGTTCTGCAGATGGGGGAGGGTTGCCATATGCCAGTGCAGTAACAATTTTTGACTCACAGTCAAAAGCATCCAAAAAAGTCAGTATGCAGGATTTTCTGCCATATGGAGGAATTGTTATTTGGCCTTTTCTCTAGCCATATCTCATTAAGCAAAAAGGAAAGAAAAAGGGAAGGACATTCTTTTCTTCTTTGCAAATCTTGCCCCAGAGTTCATCTTCAATTTGAAAGGCAATGCTCACTTCTGGTACCTAGAAAACCAAGTCAGAGCAGTAGGAAGTTGTAAGACTCTACGTGACTGAGGACAGTGTTCTTGTCCAATTCAACAGGTTTTCTTTAAGCCTTTTGCACTTCAAATATGACTTCTTTCAGGGAAGAGGGAGAAGTACTACAGAGAGCTAGGACTGGTTCTGCTTGGCTCAGAAAGACCAGAGCAGAAAAAGAACTGCACCTTCCATGAAGTCTGTAATGGTGCATTACAGTAAAGCTATTTTATTACCTCCGCACACTGCAGCACTTTGAAGGTGTCACTAATGCACTTCCCTGATCCTCCTCTGTTCTGCAGTCTGTTTTGCTCAGTATGGGAGGTTTGTCCAACCTGAGACTTTGCTGGGATTTTGCCTTTATTCTTGTATAGGAACTAATGTGGTATTAACATAATGCAGACATTTGTGGTTTAACTTTACAGAGCCAATATGATGGCTAGTGTACAAACAGGAGAGCAATTGGATACAGGTTTAAGAGTTATAAAGATATATAGAAACCTCAAGGCTTCTCCGCTTCCTTACGATCTTCCTCAATGTAGAAAGATGTCAGGAGGAAAAAAACTCCTCCAAAGACACCAACAAAAGCACACACGATGAAGCTGTACTGCATGCTCCAGAAACTCCACTGGAATGAGGGCACATTCTTAGCCTGGATAGCATTGGCGATCTAGGGAGTGAACAAGGCTGCCATTAATCTGGGATAACATCATCATCCTCGCTTGGTTTAAGCAGATTGTTTACAGTGCGGTTCTTGAAAAGAATAAAACTAGGCAGATAGGGAGGAAAAGCCTGCTACCATAGTTTGTCAAACCCAGTACTCAATACACCTGTACTTCACTGCTGTCCAGCTTCCATTTAGTCAAGGAACCTCATGTTCTTTTATACTTTCAGTGCCTCCAGTCACAGGAGTAGGAAATACTGCAACCAATGTTTATCATGTTTGGTAAATGTTAACTTATTTTACCATTTTCTAGCCCATCTCCAGCTAGCACAGGACAGACATTTCGCAATGACTTTTGTCATTTCCTGATGTTATTCGATAACTTTATCCATCCCTGAACAGTATCAAGTGGATAGAAACAGGGGATTAGCGTCAATACAGGCACAAGCAGCAGGGAAAAAGGGAAGAGCTGGAAATTAATTTGAGAGACAAGAGTGGAGTCTGCTTTAGAGCCAAAAGGCATTTGAGGACTCGTGGAGTCACAGTATGAGGAACTGGGAAGAAGAAGATACGAGGCAGCTGCTTTTTGCACTGGTTGGAGGATGAAGTTGTAAAAGCTATAAATGATACACATGAATTTTATTTTTGTAGATAGAAAGGAAAGCTGATTTCAAGAAACTCAATAAGATTCAGTACTTAACCCAGGAACTTAAAATCTCTTGTTAGTGTAAACAAAAAGATGAATGTTGAATGCAGTCATTTTTATTCCTACATTTGTTCTTGACGGTTAGAAGATGTGACGTGACTTGAAATACACATTTATGAGACTCTTCAACCTTTGCTGGGTTCAGTATGATTATTTATGACAGGTTAGGCAGATAAGAGCAAGATCAACTCTAAATGGGCACCTAGGGACTACAGTGAGCATAATGGCCAAAATACAAACCTAATGCATTTCATTTTAAAATGCTTAGTAAGAAAATCTCTGGAGTACTGAGAGAAGAAAAACAGATGCTGAAAAAGACTGTTCCCTGACTCTCCACCAGTTTTTAAGCTGCAGGGTTAGCTGAAGCAGGTTGGTAAACAATAGCAAGAGATGAATGCAGAAGATTTGGTGGTTAATCAACAGCAGACACGGGCAGCGTTGCGATATTGGCTCACAGAAGCATTCCAGAAGGCAATGTTGTGCTCATTGCATAGGACCCCGCTTGGACAAACAGCAGTTTTATTCCTGGATTTATTGTCCCTGTTCTTTGCAAAGTTGCAAGGTTAGCTGAGCTTGATCTCATCTGGATAAGCTTTTTTTGTCTTCACCCTTTTTGATTAGCTGCTATTTAAGGCAACTGCATGCAAGGTACTGCATAAGAAGTACTCTGCACACGGCTACTAGCAGGATGCAGCAGCACATTCTGCAGGAAGCCTCATTTCTGCCTGTGCCTCAAAGATGGCAAAGAACAGTGGGTCAAAGATACAAACATTTTCATCTTTCAGGTAGGAAGCATAAATCAATAGAATAGTCAAAGGTGTATTTCAGCTTTTAAGATCCCTTCCATTTTTGCATACCATTTCAGCCACTCTTCATGGCACAGGGACGTCAGTTATTATGTTACCCCATGCATACAGCCAAACCAGTGCGAGGGCAATAGTTTCATAATACACACCAATGAGCAAAGCGGTGTCTTCATTTGCCAGAAAAAGAGAGCCAGCAGGAGGAAGCTCTCAGTGAGAGAGGGCTGACTTCTATGCCAGACGGATTACACAGTTGAGACTCCGGTTTTCAGCCAGTTGAGGACAAGGGGGAATCTCCCGTCTGGCTGGACCAGCAGCAGCTGCGCCTGCAGGCACAGCTCACTCGGGCATTTCTGTCTGGCCCTGTCTAACCCTAACACTGTTAATAGGTGATAAAGAAAGAACAGATAATCCTGAGGTGAACTTCTTAAAATAAACTTCCATATAAACAAAATTTTAAAACAACAACGACAACTTACTCTCTCTCCCATGTCCAGTAAAGCAGAAAAATCGTGGGTGATTGGTTAGCTACTGTGTGCAGAATTACTGTGTCTTAAATCAAAAATAATGAAGGAATGAAACCACCCTGACAGATATCATCCACTGGAACTGGAACAAATGAACTGCAAGCAGAACACAGTACTAGGCTGCTTTGGCCAGAAGCGCCTAAGATCAAGTAAATGTAGGAAGGGCAGAGAAATCAGGTCTCAAGCAATACGGGAATCCAAGGTTAAGGTAATATGAGACCAGAGCTTTGAATGCCAAGTAGTAACAAAAGGCAACCATTGCAGTCACTCTTGTTCTGATTTTCAAGAGACCATTGACTAATTGCAAGATTTCAGTCTTCAAGATTTGAACTAAGTGCCTTAGGTTTTATGGTATTTGATTAATCTGCATGAAACTCCTCACAAACTTAGCAGAAAGTGCTTAAATCCAAGTACAATACCCATGACACTGTCTGTGCGAAAATGTATGCCTTCAAAAATTTATGAGTTTGCAAATTTAAAATCAAAATAAATCTCTACACACTCACACCCTACAGGTATAGGATTATATCCTACATACCTGCAGTGTAACAGGACCAGGAGCTGCATGCACGTAAAAATGTTTAGAAAAATCTCTTTCTGTATTCTAGTATCAAGGCCACCAATTTGAGTAACTTCTAATTATGGACCAGGAAGTGCCTACGCTCTGTGAGTGTCTGTTTTTCAGTTTCTAAAAGTTTTACCCTAAGGAAAGCTCAATAAGCAGAGAATTCACTTACAATCCCAATGAGGTATGGGCTGCCTGCATCTCCCAGCAAATGGGTCACCAAAATCTGCAGGGCAATAGCTGTAGACTGGCGTCTTGGTGTCACAACATACTGCAACAGAACACAACCCACCAGAGAATGAATATTAACAGAGTGAATCTCATGAATGGCCAACTACTTATATAACATCCCAGAGAGATGAATATATTCATTTTTATATATTTCATATTCACACATTGTTTACAAGTTTGGAGATGGAGAAGTTATTCTGAGCAAAAGAGTACACTGGATATTTGGCTGAGGAAAAAACATTCAAGAAAGCAACATACAAGGCAGAATGACAATAAAGTAGGAAAAAACATGACTCCCCTGCCTCCATTCATAGGCTCACAGCAGCTTGTACCGATTCACTTGGCCATGCAACTAATAGAAACCTCCAACCAGTAACCCGTCCGGTTGTACTGATTTACTGATAAGGAGATCCAGCACTGACAGCCTCTGAGAAAAATCTCTTATGACACTGTGTCAGCAGGCATGGTCCGACTGCTGGGGGGAAACTGGGGTGTCTGGAACATGAACTAGCTGCCACATCTGTAAAGGATTTCAGCTTAGACCTTGCAGACTGCATGAAGGCAGAGGGAGGGGACCCAGCCTGGCAGACCAGAGGGTGGCTGATGGTGCTTTGCTGATAGCTCTGATGGCAGAGGCTTGCTGCTTCTAGCTGGATAGCACCTGAGATAGAGCAAGCCCAGTAACAGTACCTCAAAATGATTATGCTTTTGAGTGCACACAGTTTAAATAACAAGTTGAAGAAGATGTGGTGCACATCCAGAACACAGCAAAGCGTCACATAGATTAGAACTATTTTTTAAAATGAAACATAGTCATTTTGGAGTAATGACGGCTTTATGTCTGTGCTACTGAAGATCAAATGTGCCTGAAGAAGTACAGTAGGATTCTATACAATTTGTGTCTCTCTCCTTCAATAATACATTTATGCAAAAAACCATTCACACTCAGAATGAGACTGAAGCAATTTTAAACCTTCAATAGCTTTGTTTTCCAACCACTTGCTTAAATCAGAGAAAATTGCTTAATATTCTCCCACTCCTCTACACTCCAGCTTGATATTTTGGAAGCAGATCTGAGCATCACTTAGGTTGTCTCAAACACTAATTGATAGGGTGACCGGTGTTTTACCAAGAGACAAACTCAAGGTATATAAGCTATTGTGGCTCTATAGCCACCTTCAAAGAAACACTAATATGCATGACAAGGTGGGTTTAGAAGGAAAAAAAAGATCCTGTTCTCACATTTAACTTAGAGTTTTGTTTTGGGGTTTTTTTTTGTGTTTAAAGAAGCCTCAGAAAAAATTGTTTACATACCACTAAGATGTAGCTATATCACAATAGCAACATCAATGCCAGACCTTTAGGGTGGCTGGAACTCCATTAATGGACATTAGAACAGGCAGGTGAGGAAGCAACATTGTCCAAGACATCAAGGTTAATTACTCTTGTGAGAATAAGAGCAAAAAATACTTCAGTGCCACATGCAGTCAGGACCTACAACCAGTACGTTATGGCATTTTAACTATACTGAAACTACAAATCCCCAGCAGAGATGCAGAAACAGGAAGGACAATAAGCCCTGTGAATGTAACAGCTTGCATTCGGGAATGGATTGACAGAGGATTCTGCAGCACTGTGCTCCTTACCCTCTCGCAGTCCTCCTCCTGCAGGAGCTAGCGTGACATATGTTCTTTGTATGAAGCTTGGAGCATGTATACAATCAAAACACCTTAAGCATGTTATTTTTATAAAAACCCATTCATAGAATAATGCACTATTTACATCTTGCAGTTTAAATATCATGCCCAGCTTTTTCCATTGCTATGGTTTTCATGCAGTATGTCTCTCTCACAAACCTATTTTTACCATTTTCTCTCGTGTTTAACAAGATGTATGTGCTGCAGAGCCTTTCCCTAAAATACAGCTCTGATGGGGAGTGCCAATTTGGATAATCTTTCTCAGCAAGGCCACCTATTTTCACAAGGCTTGTATGAACTTGGGTCTTCCTGAAGTGTCTAACTCTTTATCAAACTTGGTCGAAATCCATGGTTTCAAAACTTAAAGAGAAAGCAGACACAGACTGTAGAAAGTCTTCTTTCCTTAGGAAGTGAGGCTATGCATCCCATTTAGATTTAACAGAGCACTTGATCTAAAATGAGAAAGAAAAGACATATTTCCCCCAACACAATTAGCAAAAATTATAGCCAGTGTCACCCATGGGATGAAGGAACAGTTCAACAGCTCCTCCTCACCATGGTCATGGCACACTTCAGCCTAGACTGAGGGCATGCAGTCTACCCAAATTTTGTTTTCTCTCAGAACCTGCCTGGAGTTCCAGTAGAGCATCTGCACTTTGAGAACAGGCTCTTGTACAGAAAGAGAGATAAAGAAACTACAGTAGAAAACTCTGAGCTTGGGAAGTAGACCTTGCCATGACAGACTGTACTAGACTGGAGACTGTCAGCTCTTGGCTCTCCAAGGATATCATGTCATCTGCTCTAGAGTCAGATTTCTCTTCTTTTATTGATAATGACAGGCTGTGTTTGAGAAATACAAAACAAATACTGTTATGCACTTAATATATTGTGGGCATTGCAGGCATGAGAAAAGATAAATGCATTTTCATGCTCTCAGTGCTCTGCGCCACTTCCTTAAAACATTTATTTAGTATCTCCTATCTTTAACTACAAGTGACACATGGAACAAAGCCACAACAAGAAAAATGGAAGAGAAGGATAAGATATTTTCTGGAGTTACAAGGCTCTTATAAACTCTGGCTATGCTATTCTTCAGGTTCTTCTGCACAATGGAATCCATATGCAAGAGCTCAAGGTGCTGTAGGATTCACTAGGAAAAGAAGAAACCAAACCCTCCCACACACAGGGACTCTGAAATAGCCACAGCATCCTGCCTGTCCGCAGTGACTGCCCGGTTACCCACGCCATGTCAATGATGCAGATGACATCCTACACGCTGTCATCTCCTGGGAGATCCCAGCCCAAATGCCTTGACAGATAAGCGGGGTGCCCCAAACAGATACAGTTTGCAAACCCTGTTGTGCCATTCCTGGAGGTTTTAGAGATCCTCCTGCAGACTATGTGACAGAGCTGTCAGCTAAAAAAGCAGATGGAACAGACAGGCTGGTAAATGCTCCTATAGCTCCCAGAGCACTTCCAAAGAAAGACGGGGACATGTTGGTAGCCTTCCCAAACCCCATATTAGCTTCCAGTTCCAGCATCTCCTTCACTATTAGCTGCCAAAAACCTAAAAGGCAGAGTCCCATTACCTCACAGATGGCAAACATATTTTGTAAGGGACAGTCCATGTACAGTCTCCCGGTAAGCCAGCATGTTGTAAGCGAGGCAGCTACAGCACTTCTCCACTTGCACATTATGACTGTAGTTGTAGAGTAGATAGATACCTTCGTGTTTACAGCTGAATAAGAGGAACAAAGATTGCTACATGCAATGCATCTTGATGTATTAGCCACAAAGGAAGAAAGCCCTTATCATTCAGTCAGCATCTCCCTTTGTCTTCAGCTCCACAGGTTGCAGGATAAATGAATTCGTAGCTACATTGTCTGGCTAGTAGTGCCACGTGGGAAGAAAGAAAACTCATTTTCATGGCAAAATAAGAACATGCATTAGAAAATCCAGCCACATTATCAGAAATCCTACCAGTTCACACGGGAAACAATGCAAAAAGATAAATTACTGTTGTTATCTATGGCACCCTTCAGTCAATGTAAAAGCAGAAATACACTGAAACCATGGGTTTTCAGCCGGAAGAAACAAATTCCCAAATAAGATTGCGACTGAATGAGCAGAAATCCACAAATTCAGCTGAATTCCATCATTTTTCTGAGAAAACAATTAGTAAAATTTAGAATTCAACAGATCCAACCTGAAGCACATTTCATGGTAACACACTGAATGCCTGCTCTCACGGGGAACACAGGACAGAGCTCTTCACCTTCCTGCTTGTTGCCAATTGATGCAATATTCCTTGCACCTAAACCCAAAAGTTTCTAAAATAAATACAAATGAGGGGTGTCAGTCACTCGGGAGACAAGAACTTTCTCCTCTTCTGGATTTACATGGATCCAGGGTATGGATACGAATAGATGTCCTGCAGGCTGTAATGTGGTGCAGCATTCCCTAAGCAAGCTGAGACCCGAGTGATCCAACTGAAAGAAAGCACAGCTCCGTGCAGACTTTGCAGTTTGACTTCAGAAAGGAACTGAAGGAAAGAGCTGACAGTAATCACCTGCCTTACTCTCCCCATCCCATATCAACAGTATCTAACTCGGTGATGTCACCTTCCACTTCAGCAATGACAGAGGAGAGAATTAAAATGCAGGTGTAGGAGCTCAAAGAAAAGTAAATTGAGAAACGTTAAAAAAAATCCTTCAATGGTGCCTCAACTCATGTAAAAAGAATGCTAACTGTAGTAGTACCTGGTTCTGTTGCAAAACCCCAGTGATTTCAAAATAAACGTAAATAGGAGCTAATAAAAATTTTTTTTTTGGACCAGTGATAGTTTTTCTGCACCTGTTCACTGCTTCAAGGCTATAGATCTTGTCTCATAGGATAATTGTCTCTGACCATTCTTTGAGAGTCAAGGAAGAAACAAAACCCTCTTGCTGCTGGCTGAGGTTTTAAGCGGGCAACCAATTCACTAATGCTGGCTGCAACTGGGTTTTTTTAAATTACAATTCCAGAGTGCAGAAAACTGACATGTAGAGAACAGTACCATAAAAGAGTAACTTGAGAGTATAATGCAATAGTCAATATCAGCAGTGCTTTGTTGAAGAACCATGAAATATAAGTTGTTTCATTCCTTCATCTCAGTCAGAATGTAAAGAAAGATTCTTCCAGCTATAAAGTGTGAGGATAAACAGGCTCATGTCAACAAGGCAGGGTCAAGTCAGTGGAAGGAGAGTTCCATATTGCTTCACAGCCAGTCCCTCTTGTCACTGGGCGGTGCTCAGCATTTGGCTATATACTTTCACATCCTTTTGCATGCAGGACTGTAATAGAGATACTTTTATCTCTGCTCAGCTTTTCTACCACTTGTTTTTAGTTAGCTGTTAGGAATACCAAGCAAGTTGTATTTCTGAGCAACTAAGACCACAGTGACAGCAACCTCAGTTGTAGACTTCCAATTCCTGTGGTAGCAAGCAATGATGACAGCCTTGTAGGCAACTGTGTTCCACATGAGCCACAGACTGCAGGTTTTCTTTACTGTCCCAGACTCTTGTGGCATGTTATTGTGCAGCGCTGCATGTTGTGCTATATATTAATGCATTCGCTGTAGTTCTTATATGAAGGATTTACTGTGACAGTGGAGTTTGCAGCAGCAATCTGCAAATAGACTTGAGCTCCCTTAGAACGAAAAACTGTTGGATAAAATGGAAGATGCCTGGGTGATTCTTGCTTAGGCTCTAGCCTAAGGGTGGGAAACAGAGATTCCTGTTCTGCTTTGCCCTTACCTTTGTGTCTTCTCTCACTTGTTCTGACAGCTTTACACCATTTCCCTACTTTGCTTTCTAGCAGTACCAACTGCATTTTGCCTGTGCCACACTGGTCTCAACAGTCTCTGTCTCTCGGGTAGCATCCTGCTTGAAACGTTTGGGTTACAGTCACACCACCATTCTGCAACACAGTGACCCCACAGAAAATGATTCTTCAAAGTAGAGAGTCTGAATCTCATGTGTGATACAGAGATACAGTACTCTACTCTTTGTAGAAAAGGATTGTGCCAATTTAAATGCTTTATCTTATGCCCATGGGTAACAACAAAAGGATTGTCAATCATTTTAATAGCTCTGGCTTTGGTACTTAAATCAGCTTTCTGCAGTCTGATTACTAGATATGAACAAGGTAGACCATTTCCTTGCTTATTTGACTGATGAACTGTATTCAGCTTGTTCATAGCATGGATTTCCAAAAAAAAAAAAAAAAAAGCCATTTAAACTACTTCTTAAGACTGTTATGATCTGCATAGTTCAGTGATAGTAACAACAATATCCGTCCCATGTTTTACACAGACACTGATTAGTGACTGTGGAGCTACAGCATAAACCAAAGGTTGCCAAATTTTTCCTTTGAGTAAAAACTCAAGTACACTAAAAGATTACTAACCCTAAAAGCCTTTGCAATGATAAAAAGAACTAGCTGCTCATTGAAACCTAGACTAAGCGTGCCACAAGATGTGTGCTTTTCACATCACTCCTTTCTAAAGAAAGTTACTGATGATGGAATTCAAATGAAATGATGCACTCCTATTCTCTGGGCTGGTGGTGTCAGTCCTGCAATCCCCAAGAGTCTCATAAGCATCACTGCCTGCCTAATGCTTTAGCAGTGTAGCACCACTTATGAATTTGACTTGCAAGTGCTGGAATTTATCTGCACTGTGTTCTGGAATGAAGGAACTTGCTAATAACTCATGGAATAATGAACTGTAACAGATTCACTAACTTGAGTTTACAGAATATTGACTTTCCCTCATTTGGATCATCTTTTCAAACCTTTGGAGCACAAATAGAAAATCTCTGATTATAGACAGAAAATTACCCTCTTTCTGGTGCAGTCCATTTTCCAGCAGACATCCAACAACACAGAACTGTACAGAAAACCCAAACTGTTGTGGGTACCAGCAGTGCTAGATGGTTCCACTGGCATGAGTTTCATCCAAAACAGTACCTCTCCTTACTGGGCTTACAATGAGCTTGGACCACTGCACCACCACTCCTATATTGTTACTGGCATCTTTGCACAGCAGTAAGTTGTGGCGCATGACGAAATGTTAATTAGCAGGGTACCAACAAGGGTATTCTTAGTAAGAGTTCGTTCATCTCTTCCTAGAAGGCAGAGGTCCTTCTGTTCACTAAAATGCAGGCTTATGAACAGTATTATGTTGAGAAAAGCTGAAAAACTCAAAATAAGGAAATAGTTTCACAGGACTTACCAACAGTATGTCTGTCACAACAGCCCAGTTTACAGATAAAAACAGTTCCCCAAATGCAATAAAAATCTGCAAAAAAAGAAGAAAGCAGTGACTATACACACTGCATTGACCTTCTGCATTGTGAAGATGAAGGCAGGCTTGCTGACTATGCTCATCTATGTAAGAACTGTTGTACAAACCCATCTACTTATAAATTAAATATATCTGTCTATGCTCACAAACACTAACTTCATCTGGAAAGGGGGGGAAAGGAACCAGAGAAGGTATGTGGGTTGCTTTGTGTCACAAATCCTCAGCAGAAGAGCCAAAATAGGAAACATATGCCACCCTCCCAAATAAATTGTAATGAACTGCTGAAGCCAGAAGAAGAGGAAAGGAAGAGCCTGTGAAGAGAAACATTCAGCACATGTTTAAAAAGTGCTCAAAGATCTTCCTTTGCTGAGGTTTCCAAATGAAACCAACAGTACACCTCTGTGCCAGTACGAGTACTCTTATAGGCTCCTTCAGAAAGGTAACTTCCAAACCAAAATCGAGTCCAAGAGACAGGCAGCCTCAAAGCCTTGGTGCCCTTCGGGGATTCCCTAATTCATCACAGATGGAGACCCAGCCATCAGGAAAAGGGGTAGAGCTCCCAACAGCTCTTACAGCTGGGAAAAGATTAACCCTTTCAGCCAGCCCTGGACATAAATTTGAGCAGGCTCTATAGACTAATCGATACTTGAGGAAAGCATTATAGCTACGCTATTCAGCTGCAGCAGTTCTGGAAGGCAGAATCTATTTAGTGGCACAGCCCACAAAGTCCAGTGGCACCTAGGAAATAAAATCCATTATAACAACAGGTGCCAGCATCTTGTTTGGTAAGGTCTTGGTCAAGATGTTGTATCTGGTTGATGAAAATGCAGTCCTAGGAAAAGCACAGTGGCAAACTATCAGATGTTTTCAGAGGGGTAGCTTACATTCTCCTCAGAAGAACCAGACCTATATTATACATCTTCCTATGACACCCCTACCTCCTCTGTTTCTTGCCTGTGCTGTTCATGTGACCAGTCTGGAGAAAAAGTTCCTTGAAGTACAGAGATATTTAGTATAGACCTTTATCCAGATGTCTTTCCCTTTCAAATGCTTTATATAGATTTTCTAATTTGCAGCTGAATCTATTCCTCCATACATAACTACTTTTCTTTAAGTTTTATAATAAATATCACTAATTTCACATACTCCTTGACTATGTCTTAGCTCTTGGATTTATGTGTCCCACTATCAAAGTCTTTCCATTGATACAACTTTGGCAGACCTTGCCTTTGTGAGAGACAGAATGCAATCATTCTTCTCTAATTTCACGACTGTTGCAATAACAGTGTATTGACTGCAGAAACAACGCTGCATGCCAGTCTTAGCTGGAAAGCAAGTAACACACGTTTTATTAGAGAACTTTGGGCCAAACACAAAATGAAATGTCTTTGTTAACATGGATAGCAATATCACACAGTTCAACTTTTTGCCAAGCCACCTGGCAATAAGGACTAACAATGTCAAACCTTGCAGCCACCAGAAAATATTAGGCCTTCATCATCTTATTTCAGGCTAATACTCTCTGAACTCTCTTGGAAGATCCAAATTCATCAAGGACCTTACTTTCTTTTTTTTCCCCTGATTCTATACAAATAAACTTTAAACATGCTATTGCTTAACTCAGAATTGCAGCCTGTGAAGTGGTCAAAGCAGTACTCAGATGAATTATAGGCAAATGCAGTTGAACCCTGCTATACAGCGATAATGGCATGAACTTACGTAAATTCTGTCAGTTGTGCCATAGCTAGCAAGAGATAGTGCAGGTTGAAGTGAAACAGGAAGGAGACAAGAAAGAAAGAGATTTATGTAAACCCTGGCTGATCCTTTAGATATAACCAGATGCAAATATAACAGTTAGAACAGAAGGTTCTGAAGACTTCCAAACTGCTCCTAGATACCATCACTGGAATAGATGACTACCTGCCTTTATACATCAAATGAGAGATCAGTCCATCTCCCTTACAGGAATCTTGTGACACTTAGCACTTTAAAGTGTTGTTTCCAGTTTTCCTTTCTCTTCACACTTTTTCAAAGTTATTTAATCTCTACAAACCCCTAAAAACAAAAGCATGACATACATAGTGCAAGAAAAGAAAATAAAATTAATCTTTAGGAAATAAGTTATGCTCTCAACCTAGAGTCAGAAGGAATAGGAATTAATGAAATATTATCCATGATAAGAAAATGTGATGTTCAGCAGCTAAGGCCTGAAACTCTGGAAAGGAATTATTTCATACAGCATTGTGTGAACGTCAGAGACACAACTTTGTTAGCTTTTCTTTTCTTTCCTAAGGTGGATCGCAGTTGTAGGGTCACTAGAAAAATTTAACCCAGACAGTTTTGGAAGGTAATAAATCATTCTACAGATTGTATCAAGGTATTCTGTCTAAAACCAATACAAATTTCATACTTTCTCATGCAGAATAAATGCAATATGGTTGAATAGTTGGCACACTCAGCCACCCAACTGCAAAACAACTGCAATCAATAAAGAGGACAGAGTTGCGTGTTCTTTTCTTCAGAACAGGTGGAGATATCCTGGAAGTACTGTGCTTGGCAAGGGAGAAGAGCTGAGGATGGCAGGAAAACAATAGAGCAATGCTCTATTTAAAGTGTATCCTTCTGTTCCTACCATCTCTCAGTATTCCTCATACTGTCTCAAGTTCTAAATTTAAATTAATATAGAAAAGGTTTCCGTTACATTTGTGCAATCATGTTTGTGGCATGCCCATTCTAATCTAAGCACACCTAGAAAAGAATGAAACATTTTATTTTATTGCTGTCACCTTCTCCAGGATCCCCAGCTTTTTTAACAGACAACACTTAAAAGTTGGTCTGCAAAGGATACAACCAGAATAATGTCCCAAATGTTAAGGGTATTTTGCTTTGTAGATGACTGTTTACATTCATACATATAGAAAGAGAATTAGATCGTCATCAATGTCAGTGCCAAACACACATTCTGCTTTTAAACAGTCACATACCTCAACAAAAAGTAGGGAATCAGTATGGCTGGAACATACATGATCAACGATTTCTGTCTTTTCAAAAAGACCCACACTATGTGCATCAGAGACAAGAGCTGCAGAATGCCTCCTTCAAAGACAAGTTGCAAGTCAAGACTGCATCCTGATACAGCATTGCCATCAAAGATAAGTCTGTTTAAATCTGTTTAAAGTTACCGCAACACCAAATATTGTCCAAAGTTCCCAGTAACATGGTTCAGTCATGACTTCCTGAAGCACCTGCTGCACTGCAGAGAGCACGCATCTTTCATCTCGCTTTGGAGACAGGAACCGATTTAGAGAGCCGCCTCTGAGATAACAAAGCCAGGTAATTTTTCTCTGTCTTTTCAAAGGTAGTCTTTGAAATCAAGAACTGGGTGTCCAGAAAAAGGAGAGAAATCTCATGGCATTTCAGTCCATCTACCCCAACAGAAACTGTGGAAGTCTTGATGTATTTCCATGTTAACTAGAGAATTCTTGTGCTTTGAAACATTTCTTCCAGCTTTGGCCATAGCTGATTAAGCCTGTCTTGTTCCCTTTCATTATCCACTCAGGACAGTGGAAATCACCCTACAGAAAATACTGTAATTGCACGGTGATGCACGTATGCTTTTTTGCTTCAGCAGATTGTGCACTGTGAAGCGATGGAGACAGGTTTTCTAACGTCAGCATGCCTGAGCAGACAGTCACTGGAAAGCCAGTTCCCTGCCAGTGTCCTACACAAATGGAAGATTTGTTTCAGTGGGACCCTTCAAATTAGACACACCAGCTGGCACGCCACTCCAATTCTCACACCAGTATGACTAGTGTCAGATCTTGCTTGTCAGAAAGCAACGGGAGGCATGGCTGGTGCCAGAGAAAGTAATAGTTAAGCAGTTGTAATGGTAAGAGGACTGGAAGAATCAGGTGCTTAGATTACGTACAAATTATTACCACTGCACATTGTTGACATTACATTTTGGAACACCTGAACCAAGCACATCAAACAAAAGACAAAATGGCAAAGTCTCTGGTTACAAGACCAACTGGTCTGCCCATGGGAAGAAACTTAAGGAACACAGTTATCTATACCCCAGTTCAGAATTTCCTCCCAGATACCACACTGCTTGAAAACAGAATGCTGTCTGAAAGGAGAGAAACATTTTAAACAAATTTATTTTTACCAGTCCTAATAAAAGGTGTATTTTGGTAATTCAAAACCAATGTATTTATTCACTTAGCTGACACGGACTGGCAAATGCAACTGTTGTTCTCCACCATTAATGACAAAAAAAGAACTGAAGAACATACGCCGAGTGGGACTATGTGGGGAACCTGAGAAGCAGAAAAAGAAAATGGCTAATTCTTTTGGTACTCAGATCTCCACTCCTGAATCTAAAAATAATCTTCAATTTCACATTTTGCTTTGTATACACACACAGAGACATGCAAATCCATTTGTTTTTTCCCTTGGTGTAAAGGCGTTGTTCCACAGGAATACACATTCCTGAAAACCTCGATGAATAAGTGTTATTCTTAGAAGCAAAAAACCTGCAAAAGTACCCTTTTGCAAAGAACTGTTGATTACTGTAATTGACTTTACTTGGATCCTCTTTTTTATGTTAATCATGGTAATTGTGGCTATGGAGTCACAGGAAAAAAGCTTGGAGTCTTTTCCTAGCTGTTACCAGATTATAGTTAAAATAAGGTTTACATTCAGTTCGCTCTCACAGGGATTTCTTGGAACTATTCATCATTCCTAGTAAATTTCTGTTTTTCCCTTTACTGAGAACAGAATTTAAGTGATTTATACTTCAGTTTGCATTGCCAAAAGCTTGACTTTGAAGATCAGCTAGTGATTTGAGGCTTTGAAGGTGATGGCTAAATTATTCTTAGCAAGAACTGTGCATATTGTACAGACACAAGTACACCAATCTTTAAGTATTCAGAGAGCAAAAATAAATAAGAATACTAAATTAGTCACATAGCATTAAAAATTAACACAAGATTGAGACTTCCTTTAACTGCATCTTTGGATAAGGGACACTAGCTTCATGCAGCCAACTACATAAGCTTACTATTATCTTCTGTAGAGACTCAGGAGGTCCTGAGGCCCAATTTGTAAGGCTCTGCCTGCCTGCCCTTCTTACTGGACCAAGTAATACACAACGTGGCTCTCATGGGACAGACCACAGCTGTGGGCAGTATTAGAGCAACGTGCATAGTGCTTAGCTGGCAGGCCACCTTGTTGCAAGTCACTGAAACCTCTTAATGGTCTAGAAGATTGCAGAGAATTCTGCAAAAGCCAACCCTCACTTTGTCCTCCCCCTTCCCTTTCTCTCCAGGATCCCAGAAGACATTTTGCTAATGATAGATTGGCACTTACAAAAGTGGAAAGGATGTTCGCCTGGGCCACCATCAGAGCTGTGTAGAGGCACAGAGCAGAAATGAACATGCTTGTGGCACAGATCAGAGGATCAGCTTTATTGTTTATCTTCCTTAACCTTCTTGCAGCTTCTGCCCCAGCAATGACACCCAAGATTCCCGTCCCAATGGTGATGCCTCCAAATATTAGGCTGGTGAGAAAGCAAAGGATTCAGTTGAGCATAGTAAGACCATAGTGTAGAAGAAAATGGTGTTAGCTTATACCTTTAGTTTCAGAGGAATCTTTAATGGGGAACTTTAATTATATTCCACTTGATCTAACCCTCCCACTCCTTCTAAATGGATTTAATCCCAAGCCTCAGTTGAAGCTATGCCTCTGCAACTGAGGCTCTGTCCTGTGGAACAGATATTTTCCCACTAACAGAGCAGGTATTACGCACCCAGGCTCAGGGAAGACTCGTCTCAGTATGACCTGGCTTAGACAGCCAGTGATTTAGAGGAGACAGAGTCATCTTGGTTACCCTGTGAACCAATCTACTCAGTCATCCCTAAAACACAGATGGAATAACTCTGTATCACAATCTGCTGTCTTGGAAGAGATCCTATCACGTGGAATTATATACATCTAAATTATAACCCTCTAGTTAGCACAGCTGAGATGAGTCATTTCTTTGACTACGGGAAACATCTACCGCTTCCCAAAAGAGTACAAAGAATACTGAATAGTTAACTATTCAGGGAGGACCATGTAGTATTTTCTGAACGCAGATTTTCAAATGCCACTCAGCTTTGTGTGTCTGCAAATGCAAATGTGTTCTCCAGGAATGACAAGTTCATGTTTTAAAAGTATGTGTTTGAATAGCTTAGAAGATTCAGCTTCCAAAGGGACTTTCATATATGCTTTTCTCTCTGTCCCAGATGAGACCCTAATGACAAAGCAAGTCTCTTGCGCTAAGACCAGTGGTGCCACTGGTTGTTTAATGCATCATAATTCTCCTGAGGCAAACGGGGACAGGAGCATTGTGTTCCGAGCACAAGTGCTTCTAAATATTTCGGAGTGCTGCACAGTAAGTTATGTACATTTTCCTAAGCTTTCTCTGACTGCAAAGCAAAGTAACCAGCTAGGATATGATCTATTCCTTTAAACTACTGTGCATCTACTTTTTAATTTCTTCCTGATTAAGAACTCAATAATTCTACAAGAAAAAAAAAAGTATTGCTATACAGGATAACAAACTTTAAGCATATTTGTACTCTCCCTTTAAGTTCTTCAGGATTCAGATCCATCACTCGCTGTAGCTTGATAGTGACAATATAGATTGTCACTAGGCAGAAGTATTATCTTAGGGATTTGTCTGGGAGAGGCAAGTTCCAAGGTGACATTAGTTGATGGAAGCATTCATGGAATTGTGTTTAGAAGATTAATGTGTTGTAAATCGCAGTTGAAATAAACCTACAGCTGGAAGAAAAGGGAACAGCCAAAACTAAATCCAAGCACAGCTGACAGGGAGTAGGAAAGTACAGAAGCCTAGTCCTGGGGAAAGGCTCCTATAGGATCATTTAGGGTCTGAGAATGCTCACTCATCTGTCTGATCTGTTCAAAAGTATCTGCACAAAGACCTGAATAAAAACTTCATACTGCCTATTTATCTGCCTTGAAAGGACTGAGACCCGAGTCAGCTGTGGTGCCATTTGACTTTGTGTTTCCAGGGAGTCTAAGAGACACAGCCCTGATCCTTAACAAAACCTGCAACTGCTGAACAGCCAGAGGGGAAAACGTCCTTAAAGCATCCCTGGGCAGGTCTGGGAATGTGCAGCTCAGTTCTTCCTGCACCATTAGCTGCAGGTCTGACACAGTTGTTTATATCATGTTTCTTTACATCCCCCTGGAATAACAGTCTAAAACCAACCTTATGCTGCTTCTGGCACTAGCTTATGCCAACGTTATTTTTAAAGCATCCTGTAAGAAGCAGTACATGAGGTTAAACTATCAGGTGCTCCATTTTACTTCCCCAAAGACCATGTCTGCTCTAGCAACACTACTGTGGAATAATAATTCAGAAGGTAGATTAGAAAACAAAACATAGGCTAACACCTTCAGCTTAATAAAGGAAGTATTTAAACTGTGTCTGTTAACAAATACAGCCAAACAGGTCAAAATTGTTTTTACCTGGAAAGACAATGTAGTAAGCAGTTAGTTCTTGGAAATCTATCATGAAGGCAGAGACTGAAACCAGATTTGGGATACCTCCAGAAGAAAGGTAGGGGCACTTGTGTGGAGGCCCCTGGTAGGGGGTCAGTACACAGAAGAAGTGTCCCAGTGCTCACTGTTATTGAGCATAGCCATGCAGACTCAAAAGGAACACCAAATACATTTTTCTATTCTGGATAACACATTGTAAGGAAAAAAACTCTCTTCCTAGCTGGGGAAAAGTAATTTCCAAAAGGTTATACTATGATTACTTCAAAATCCTCTCCTGTTATAAATTCCCCTTGCCCACCCAACATTTGATGTTTATTCATGAATCTGTATTGGTCTGGACATCCTCTGCAAGCAGAGCTCTGCTGGCAGTTACTTACAAGACCAAATTATCCTGTTTTGATGCAATGATATCATACTAGATCAAATTCATCAAGTTTGCTTTATGCTAGGAGTCACAATGACCTGGCCAAAATGGCAGGAGTTTTAAAATCAGGCTAAAAAGAAGATAATAGGAAAGTTACCAAAACACAGGATCTAAACATACTTAAATGGGTATTTAAGTAGCTTGGGGTGCACAGTCGATTGTCAGCTGAAGCCTCCTTGCTAAAGCTGCTCCTTTTTTCCTGCGAGTGTTCCTGCTACTGCTTCTTTCCACTTAAATAGGACTGGCAGCATCTTTCCAGTTACCCAAGTGATTGTAAAGCAAACAAACAACTAGGAGTGTCTCAGCATACCTGGAAGCAATTTAGTCTAACATTCACACCCAACTGCCTTCCCAAGAAGTGTTCACAGTCACATCCTACCTCCTGCCTTTGGAAACAAACTGTGATTTAGCACTGTGCAGTTGTGCGCACCTCACCTGTTAGATGAATTGCATGGTTCTTGGAGGCATGGTGATACAATGCCCTGGACAACCTGAGCCCTGTAAAGAAACAGTGGCACCCACACTCCCAGGGCTCCAGTAACGAAGGCCATGGCAGTCAGACCCAGTGAAGACCAGACAAAACTCCAACTGAAAGTCAAAAGAAAAAAATGAGAGGTATTAGAAAGACTGGGTGTGAGGAAAAAGGGAAAGCCTACCTGCAGTACCCAGGATTTCAAGCAATAACAAAACAATTCATTCAGACATCTTATAATCAAAATGTACTCCCTTGAAGATATGAACTTTGATGAGGCTTTATCTATGAATTTCAACAATAAAGTACTAATTAGAGGGAAGAGTATGACCTACTGATTTCATGTTGATTCCCAGTCCTGGTCTCTTGCAGATTTCATTGCCAACTTTTGCTAAACCGATTGCTGTGAAAGTTTTGATAGCAGAACTATGACAATGGAGAGTGGGCAAGAATTTCATGGCTTAGTAGGTAAATGAAAGTGTTCTATATGCAAGTCTAAATGCCTCAGGATGGTTTTAAGTTGTTTGTATAATCAGCGTAAATGAGAGTAACATCTGAGTCTTCCAAACTGTTAAGATACAGTGGCTGAAGTGCTCCTTAACTCTACCTAAGTAAAAATAGACTCTCAGTCTGCACAGCGAGTTTTCAGACAAAAGGAGAAGCATTTTTAAAAACTGTCCAAATCTTGCCTCCTTCCTGCCCAGTTCTAGGAGAAAATGAACTTCTTACTGGTCTCTTCCTTGTCAATAGTTTAGGAGAAAGTCCCGTTTGAGGTCATTAGGGAAGTATGAAAACTTAAGACTAAATAAAAGTGCTGAAAATGACCAGGTGACCACCAGACTAGGGGATTTGTTAAGATATAGATATAGATATAGATATAGATTAGATATAGATATAATTCATCATCATCTGAAGGTAAAGGGCTCTTGGACTTGATTGAAAGTAGAATCACCTGGTTTTTGGCTCTATGTCCTTATGCTTTGGAAATCAACTGCTAAAGGAAAAGAAAATTAAAATCTATTTTCACTACATTGCTGGAAGTTGTAAGGAATATCTTTGTAGGAAAGCAACTTTGACGACAGTCTTGTTGAAATGTCAGAAAGGTTAATTTTTGATTCAGGCAAGTTCATTGTTTATTCACTTCAGACTGTACTGCGTACAAATTGTGATCCAACAAACCAGATCTCTAACGTACTTGCTGTTCTGGATGTAAACAGAATGCAAATCTAAATGTCAATTAGAAAATGCTGGTTCCTCTAGAAGAACACTCCAAAGACGAACAAGGTCCCAGGAAAGCTAAGCCTTTAAAACAAAAGCATTTGGCCAGGACGGCAGGGCAGCAGCCCACAGGCAGCAGCAGAGGCCTGGCGCAGGGGCACAGCAGCTCCTGCCATTCCCCAACACTTCCAGGAAGGGCTCTCATAGACTGTGGGGTAACAGGAGCGAGAAACTGGTTGCAGTCGGCATTTTTACTTTGTCCTGCAGGTCAGCTGGTGTTGACTTTAATTTTTGTGTGGTTAAAAGGAAGAGGTCATTTGCCAGCCACAGGTTAGCTGGTCAAAACACATCTGCAATTACTTTATAAACCGTATTGGGGTCTTACAGACTCTGACCTCCTGTATCAGAGGCATAGCAGGCTCACAGATACCATGTAAAGACTGCCTGAGACATGCTGATCCAACTTTCCTCAAGCACTAAGAATTACAACTAAAGTCACACCTGCAAAATATGTGCTTTTACCAGTGTAGCTTACCCTACATGTTAAAGCAAGAGGGAAGGGGAAACTTAGTAAAAAGTAGAGTTGGATTTAAATAGGAGCACGCTGCCATCATAACTTTGCCTCCTTCCCCCTCCTCAAAACGGGAGGATAGCAGGAGCAAAGAAATTTGTGATCTCTTGGGTAGCATTCCAAAGAGTGGAAGAAAGATTTTTATTAATGTTGTTTCAATCATCTTGTATATAGCATGTGATACAAAGGAGCTGAGCGGGATTTGATGGCCATATTTCTAATAATGGAATGGTCATTCCTCAATGGAGGGAACCTTTGTTGCTAAAATTGCTTACTTCTTGGCAAGTGATACGACATCTTGACACCAAGTAGTCTTGGCAGTTCTCTGTACACCTGGTTTCTCAGGCGCTACTCGTATTGTGCCGGAGATGCTCAGTGCTCTGTGTGCTGCTGTCTTTCTCTGGGTCCTGTGAGGGACCAGTAGAATCAGAAGAACCAGTGCTAGACCTCCCATGCAAGGAGTTACCTGTAGGCAGAAGGCTGGTTAGATCAAGGATACCTTTCTTCTTACGGTGAAAACTCTGCAGCAATTCAAATTCAGTGTTAGAATTACATATTGGAGAAATGCAGATAAGTTCAGAAATAGATGTGACTTGCTCTTTGTCAGTCATACTTGTAAAGAAGAAGAGTGACTTTGGTGATTTATTATGACTTTTGAGGAAAGGTAATAGATCCTCCCTCCCTGTCATACAGACACATGATCATTCCCTCTGATTTTGGAGAAAAACATGAAGAAAGAAAACTGTATCATAGTAGTCTGGCCACAAATGCAAGAACCACTGATGCAGTCATTAGTGTTATCTGAATAACATCAGATTGTTGTTCCAGCAGACATTCTTCCCCACTCATCCTGTACTTTTATAGATAAGTTAGGAAGATCTGACAAAGTACTTCCAAAGCACTAGGTGTTCAGTATGGAGAGATATCATGATGACATGACCAGAAGAGGGTTTTTTTCTTGAAACCCTCAAATAATAGAATTTATTCCCAACAGCATTTCAGAAAACAATCTCTCTGTATTTTCCTGAAGAATTATACTGGCACTACCAGTATAATGATCATTTTACCCTCAGTTTCCTCTGTTTGAGGAGGTCTTGGTGCACTGACAACCATTCCAAGTATGTCCTCAGGTAAGAGGAACATCAGCACCTGCCCTGGCTGCTGTACAATCTCACCTATGCCTGCTTTCATTCTGCAAGAGCTCGGGATAAACTTTCCACTTGTCCTGCAGGAAGAGTTCTCTTAAACACCAAGTTCATGACTGGTCAGACAGTCCTTCCACTGCTCACCATTTTTAACACAATGAACGTAAGTAATCCAAACCCCAGTGATGATTCTCATTTTACAGTGAACAGCTCGGCCCCATGAGTGAAAGTGAGTAACTCACCCTGAATGCCCAGTGCCAGTCACCTGTGATGTCTGCCATGCCGGCTGCTAGGACATAACCAAGACCACTGTAAGCAACAGAAAGGAAAAATCAGTAAGCACCAATGAATTCTTCCTGGATGAAATGACATGTCTTGCCAGCTAAGGAGAGCACAGAGAAGTATTCTGTCATAGTTTTCAAAATGGATAAACAGAAACAACCCCCATGGTCTATGCTAGTCTACTTGCCAGCCACTATTAAAAAGAGTCTAACCTCCTTAGAGCAGACTAGAGATGGTGGCAATAATGTCCCAGATTCCCCTTGGAATACATATTCTGTAGAATGACACTGCAAACCCAGATCAGACAGCCCATAAAGCAGTTTACTCTTTTCTGTGCTAGCCACATGAATTAAGCCCTGCAGGAATTCCTTTAGTTTTAGTTTCTTTCTAGGCTCAGCCTTGGCTGCCCACTTTAAGAAAGAGTATGCCTCCAAACCATTTAAAAAGCCCGTCTCCACATCTTCTTCAGACACAATGTCAATTTAGCTAGAAGAAGAGAGGGAAGTGCCAATTATTCCTTGGGAGACTTTTAATGGAGGGTTCTTGAAAAATTTGTCAAGTAAACAAATATCTGAAAGCTTTTGTCTTCTAAAATCCAGAAATAAATTACCTACCCCCATGGACATATTTCTTTTAGAATTGATTCAATATTTTATTCAAAGCCTACTGGTTTTCAAAGGTTAGATTCTCCCTAAAAAATGTTGGGAGGAAAAAACCGATTTTTTCTTGAAGGTAAATACAGAAATAAGCCTAACCAGCTCTATTTAAACACGCTAGGCAACTGACAAATCGTTTTGCAAGACCTGATGCAGATATGCATCAAAATACATCTATTCCATGCTCAGGGTATATTGAACTGCTGGCGTGGTCAGACAGAATTTCAAAAGGCGGGTCAGTTACTAGCAAGAAAACCAACCTTCCTACTGGAATGAAGATATAGAAGATCGATAGCATTGTGGTCCTTTTTCCTTCCTCAAACAAGTCTGCAATGATGGTAGGTGCTATTGTGGAATAACTGGCTGTGCCAATGCCAACTAATCCTCGTGAAATAAAGAATATCCAGTAGTACTGCAGGCAAAAGACATATTATAGTCCAAAAAAAAGCCCATGCAAGAAAGAAAGCTTACTATTAGAGAGGCGCATTTTAGTGGATCAAATGTACCAGAGGAAATAAGATTTCAACTGCCTTTTGGATATGTCTGTATTCCCTCCACTCACACCTGCTTCCCTCCCATCCCACTGCTGTGCTTTCTACTTTCTGCACAGTACTGACTTCTTAGAGTGACACCCAGAGGGAACTGCAGGATAGGGTCGATACACCACAAGCTTGCCAAACAAGCTGCTACACTGTAAGGTCACAATCAACAAACATTTGGGACAAAGATAAGATCCCATCAACTGCAACAGTGATGTGTGGGTTCTCCATTACCTAGGCTGGACTCCACTATCCCATAAAGCATTCCT